AATTGGCTAAGCCACGTTTCACACCATGCAAATTTCCAAAATCTGCTCTAAAACATACTGTCTCCCATAACCAGTGGCATCAATTACGTTCAGGACAGTGGTGTTCATTGGTATCATTTTTCTTTGTAATAACCATCATCAGAATACTTCCTTTTCTTTGTATTAAATAAAATGCCAGAAATCTCTCTCTCTCTTTTCCTCCCTTTCTCTTTCCCCCACTTTGTCTCTGTCTCTTTTTCTGCTTTCTTCTGTCTCTTATACACACACACACATACAAGCGCAATTACGTCTACAGGTCCCTCAGTTTTAGCAGAAAGCATAAAGACAATTCTTACAATCCTATGTGGCAAATTCTGAATGAACCACCCCTCTTGGCTGCCTATAATATGGACTGCAACTCTCACTAGGTACCTTTTTTCCACTGGATCTCAGTGAATGACCAAGAAGCAATTATTTCTTTCCTTTTATTATCTTCAAGAATTTTGTTTCCCTGTCTTCCCCTATAGGACAGTTGGAGTTAAGATATGGTGTGTTCATCTCTTATCCAGGACCTGGCATGTAGTTAGTATGTTGTAAATGATGGGTGGTTGAATGGATGGCAAGAAGGATGGAAGAAAGGAACAAAGGAAGGAGAGAGGGAGGAAAGATGGTATATGAGTGACTGTATGAGCACATTTTCTTTTTTTTATTTTTTTAATGCATTTCATTTTTAAGATTTTATTTATTATTTATTTGATAGAGAGAGAGACAGCGAGAGAGGGAACACAAGCACGGGGAGTGGAAGAGAGAGAAGCAGGCTTCCCGTGGAATGGGGAGCCCGATGCGGGGCTCGATCCCTGGACCCGGGGATCATGACCTGAGCCGAAGGCAGACGCCCAACGACTGAGCCACCCAGGCGCCCCGAGCACATTTTCTTGTGTATATACTCTTGGAGAAGCGGTCCATAGGTGAAATGGGAATACCATGTCCGTTCACTCAGTAGCTCCAGTCAAAACCCCTAGAGTCAACCCTGGCTCTTCCCTTTCTTTAATACATCACATCAGCAGAACCTTTGGGCTCACTCTTCAAAGCCATTGCCGTCCTACTCTGCACCACCTCTGCCCTGGTCACCATGGGCCAATCCACCATCGTCTCTTGCCTAGTTTTTCAAAGGCCTCCAAACTGGGCTCTCTGCTCCTACTCTTTCTCTGCTGCAGTCTGCCATCATAAAGGCGCCAGGGGGCGCCTGGGTGGCTCAGTCAGTTGAGCGCCCTACTCTTGATTTCAGCTCAGGTCATGGTCTCAGGGCAGTGGGATGGAGCCCTGAATCGGGCTCTGCGCTCAGCGCAGAGTCTGCTTAAGATCCTCTCTTTCCCTCTCCCTCTGCCCCCCCACCCCAATGCTCTATCTCTCTCTAAAATGAATAAATGAATCTTAAAAAAAAATGCCAGCCAACTCTGATGTCCCCCATATCACTCCAAGTAAAAGGGAAAGAACTTCCTCCACTTGTTATGTGCCCACCTCCACCTCTCTGGCCTCACCTGCTGCCACCTTCCCTCCCTCGCTCCCCCCACTCCAGCCACACTGCCTCCTTGCTCCCCTCCTCACTGTCACTTTGTCCCGCTGTGGGAAGCTGAATAATGGCTCCCAAGTATTTACGTGTTCTAATCCCCAGGACCCATGAATGTTGCTTTCTGTGGCAATAGGGACTTAGCAGATGTGATTGAATTAAGGATCTTAAAATGGAGATTATCCTGTATTACCCTGGTGGACCCAAACTAATCACAAGTCTTTTTATCAGAGGGATGCAAGAGGAGTCAGATCAGAAGGCAGAGTGAGGAGAGAAGCAAGAAGCGCCATGGTGAGAAAAAAAAAAAAAAAAAAAGAAGTGCCACGGCGATAGAATGTGGGCCAGGAGCCAGGAATGAGGACAGCTTTTAGAAACTGGAAGTGGGAAGGAAACAGATCGTCCCCTGAGCCTCCAGAAAGAATGCAGCCCTGCCTACACCTTGATTTTAGCCCCGTAAGACTTAGTTCAGATTTCTGATCCCCAGAACGACAAGAGAATGAATTTGTGTTGTTTCAAGCCACTAAGTTGTGTGGTCATCTGTGAATGGCAACAATAGGACACATTCACACCCGTTATTCTGTTTCATGTTTCTTTAAGGCACCATCACCACCAGGCATATTTTTTATGTACTTATTTGTCCATAGGTTGTTTTTCCCACTACAGTGCAAAATGGAGGGGAGCCAGGACTTTGTTATAAACCCAGGGCCTGGCACAAGAACAATCTGTTGAATGAATAAATAGATGATATATTTTAATTAAGCAATCACCCGACACCCCGAAATGGCTGAGCCTCAGTAAAATGTTGGTTGAACACACAGTGACAAACCTGCATGACATTTTCTGTTCTGGCTTGTCTAGAACAGCTGAAAATGCACGCAAGCGAGTATGGGTTACAACGCAACCCAAGTGGTCAACGCTGAAACAGCTCAGGGGAAGAATAACTCCAGGACTCCATGGCAACAAGCCCTGCTCGGGAGATGGTGAGCCATAAAGCACACCTGAGCCCCATCCAATGTGGGGCTTCCAGCATTCTGCCATCCCCCAACCCCAGAGCCGGGACAGGGAGGAGCCTGAGCAGCTGACACTCAGACCCTCCAGTCCCATGCAAGCAGAGAAGCCCCTGTACTTCCCGCCTTTACATATAATTTCCATTCAACACTGAATAAAGAGCTGCAGTGGGGATGTTGGGGCATTGGGAAGCAGGGATTGTGGCTACCACTCTTCTTACCTAGTGCCGCTGAATATCTTTAAAAAAGAGTTCACACATAGGAGCTGAGGTCTCGTAGTTAACAATTATATTTAAAAGAATGTAAACCTAAAGAGTTCATTAACGCCAACATTCGCTTTCAGGAACTACAGATCTTAAATAACGTAGGGCCACACATTCCCTTCAAGCAGGTTTTCCTGTTGCTAATACCAGCGGGAGATGCCAATACTGCTGTTTCCTCCTACTTCTGTTTGGCTCAACACCAGTGGCAGGCTAATTTCTGGTGAAATAAACACTGCCAAATTTACAAATGTCTTGATCTTATAATGCTGATGATGATCATAATGACGACGATCCACCTTGTCGGTGGCATAAAGTTGCGTGGATGATTCTGTCCTGAGAAAAATACACCTACTAGTCCTCACTAAGTGTGGGGTTTTGTGGGTTTTTTGTTTTGTCTTGTTTTTTTAACTAACATAACAGAGATGTGGATTTGGAAGCTGGAAAACTGCTTGAATGCACCTGTTCGAACATCCGTCACCTCCTCAGTGGAGTCTCTCCTGATTCCTTCCTGCGCACTTGAGCACTCCCTCTCGGAATACCCATAGCACTCAGCTTGAGCCTCTAGTTCACCGAAATTAACCATGTGCAAATCTGTCTCCTGCACCACACTGCTGATTTCTTTTCTTTTCTTTTTTTTTAAAGATTTTATTTATTTATTTGACCGAGAGAGATATAGCAAGAGAGGGAACACAAGCAGGGGGAGTGGGAGAGGGAGAAGCAGGCTTCCCGCCGAGCAGGGAGCCCGATGTGGGCCTCGATCCCAGGACCCCGGGATCATGACCTGAGCCAAAGGCAGACGCTTAACGACTGAGCCACCCAGGCGCCCCGCACACTGCTGATTTCTTGACAGTAAGTTCCCTCCCTGTCTCCCAGACCCCTTTCCCCCCCAGATAACATAATACCAGGCAAGTTTTGACAGGTACCTAAGTATGAGCCAGACACTCCAGCTAGGTGCTTTTTAAGGACCTTGCGGTGGGAATAAAGGAAATGCAATTTACACACAAAACAACTAGGGAAAAATACAAAGAAAAAAATAATAATATATTAAATGAGCAAATAAAGTATATCTTACTGTAGTTATTAGAAACCACAAAAGGGAGAGATAAACATGCACTTAGGGTTTTGCGGGTTCATTTTTATTAGAAAGAAATAGCAGTATTTACTAATATGCTGTCGTCATACTAAGAAAAGGGTAAATATGAATATTGTCAGGGAGCAGATGTTGGGGAAAAACATCCTTCCTTCTTGATTCATAAAGATGATTTGTCTAGCCCTGAAATGCTTTTTTCATGTTTTGATACCATTGTAATAAATAGTCTTTACCACAATATCAGTCTAAAACAAAGAATACCAAAGTTCTGAGTTTGTATATCATCAGCATTAAATATTAACACTGGCTATTAGCATCTTAATACTACTACCACTAAAATCATTTCACTTCATCAGATATCTTAGTTATACTGGTGCCAAAAGGGTAGGCTCAGGGACAGAAGTAACATTTATTGAGAGTATATCTGAAGTATCTGTGACCTTAGACATGCTAAGAAGGAAACCCCGGTGCCTGGCTGACTGTTGACTTCCTCTCGCAAGACTTGGTTTCATTTTTGAAAATCAAGGTGACAAAACAAATTTAACTGGACAGGAAAATATACTCAACGTCCGTCACAAAGGTAAGGATTTGAGCCACATTTTCTGCTCACTTGTAAGTGAACTCTAAAAAACATGCTTTGCCCAGGGGCGCCTGGGTGGCTCAGTCATTGAGCGTCTGCCTTCAGCTCAGGTCATGATCCCCGGGTCCTGGGATCGAGCCCCGCATCGGGCTCCCTTCTCAGTGGGAAGCCTGCTTCTCCCTCTCCCACTCCCCCTGCTTGTGTTCCCTCTCGCTGTGTCTCTCTCTGTCAAATAAAATCTTAAAAAAAACAAAAACAAAAACATGCTTTGCCCATGGTATATAAAAGTCAATGATTAGACACACAACTTAAATGCACTTTCCAATTCTTTACTTTAAAGCAGTCCTGAGTGAACCCTGGAATTGACTCATTTAACCAGCCCTACTCTTGAATATGTCTTGAGATCCAAAGACCATGACCTCCTGCATCTTTCCGTGGACACTCGGAGCAAAAGAAGACCCCAATTAGGCCGTCCACCCATGCAGCGGTGTCTATCAGAGACAGCCCTTACCTTCACAAACAGGCTGATCTCAGGGTCCGTGGAAGTTGGTTCATTTTCTTCCAAACCATCAGCAGCAGAATTGCTGGTGAAGAAGGCCCTGCTCTGTTGGATGGTGAAGTTTTGGGGGGAAAGCGGGTCTTCCCCCATCATGCCTCCATCCTTCTGGGGTTCCTCTAAGCCAGGCTCCTGGTCTTGGGGTTCCTCCGGGCCAGGCTCCTTATCCTGGGTTGGTGAGTGTAACTCTTCCATCGAGATGTCCTGGTCTTCCTGCCACTCACCTGGTTGAAGATCTTGGGACTCAAGACATACCTCATCAGACAGGAGATAGTCTGCTGCTTCTGGTTGGGAAGAAGTCAAGCTGTCCTCCTCACCCCCAGCCACACAAACTGACACAGAGTCATGTTCATGGGTTTCCAGCTCAGTGGCATATACACTGTTTTCTGTCAGGCCTTCGTGGATGTTATCACAGAGAGGACCTTCATCCTCTTCTGGCTGGTCTGGAAGCTCATACATCCCTTCCTTTTGGACTGTGTCAGAGACGGTGCTATTTTCTTCGTCATTCATGTTCATTGATCTGAGAGATCTTTTGCAGGCGGACCTGAATGAATCAGAAATGAAGAAAGGGATGGAGGATGCTGCACCACCTTGCAGAGGAATCAACAGGCTTTTGAAACACAGTGACTAGCAACAGTTACCAATCAGAGGTCTCTAACAATCATTTACCAGAGACTTTCATCAGCAAACCACAAGTTCATTGGACACAAGATAAAGCTTACACACTCAGTTAACTCCTTCACTCCTAAGGATAGTTTCAAGCAGGCTCTGGGGTTTTCCTCACTGCCAGTAACTGACATTCTTTGGTTTAGCAAGGGGTCGAGTTATCTTCCCAATACACATTGAAATTCTGAATATTTAGCCATTTCTCACTAAAGAGGGCTTCCTCTTCCAATTGCCTCCAAATGTTGACAGCATTCAAGAAGTCTCTCTAATTCGGGGGAGAACAGCTCTCCACGATGGTAACTAATCTATTACTGGCTGAATTCATTACACAAAACGATTCTGCGAGTATCCATACCCTATGACACATGAGTTATACATGCTCCAATTAGGTAGTAAATTCCATCTGCATTTCTTATCTGGAAACACCACGAGGTGATTAAATGGCAGAAGGAATAGGAGATATATGCACTGGTCTAGAGTCGCATCAGTACCGACCACCCAAAATAAAGAAATCAAAGATTTATGGCTTTGAGTTTTATTTTCCCTCTTAAATCCATGGGATCATTACAGTCAGCAAAACTTCACTGAGATTCTGTTATGAACAGGATACCACACTGAACACCAACATATGTGTTAGAAGATACATTCTCTGCTGTCAAGAGACTTCTAAACATAGTTGGAAGGCTAGGAAGAAAAACTAAACCCTAAAGGGCACAGAATGAACTATTCAAGATTTTCTTAGTGCAATTGGCCCACGTCTGGGATAAGCAGGAAGGAGTTACATACATACATAAGGCTGCTTATTTGATGTCACTTACAGATGCCACAAATGGACAGGCTCTTTGTTTTTAATCGGGTACTCTATTCTGCTAATTCCTGTCTCCCTTCTTCACATGGTTCTCTTTGAAGTGCAAACCCAGACAGATTATGAAGGGACTTTAATGTCTAGAAATCATGTGAAAATTTAAGAAGCAACACAACTCTGGACAAAGCATTTGATGAACATCTTATTAACAACAGTCCCTTGTACCCTTAACTCCAACATTGTATCCAGGAATCTCCTGGAGCAAACTAGAGCAGAATTTCTAGAATTCTAGCTTTGGGGAGGGTTCAAAGAATAGATAAGTGCAAAGATGCTAGATGCAGACCTTAAGGCTCTTGATGTTAGCTCTTTATCTTTTATTGAAAAGTGAGGTTTGATGGGTCCAAATCCCTGAGACGTTACCAGAGGTGTGTATAACTTAGTGGAGCCCCAGCTCAAATCCCCCTCATAATTTTAGCGCTAGAGAAAACCTAGAACGCCATTTAGTCTAACATTCATTATTTATTGGGAAAAAGCCTGAAACCTACAAAGGGGAGGTGATGGTCCAAGTTCACACAGAGAGTTAATGATAGAGCTGATTTCAGCGATGATTTCCTAACCTCCAGCTCGGTGGTCTCAGCTACTCGCTCCCTCATGAAGTCAGTGTTTTCCAACCTATATTCTTGATCACACAAGCCCCCACCGCAACCCGTCCCCAAAGAATGCTTTTCAGATATTTTCTCCCATGAAATGAAAATACTGCTGATATACTACATATCTGTTTGTGTTCTCTATGCATACCTGTGCTTTTTATGTAGGAAAAGAATAAACTTTTGGTTCCCTAAGGCCCAATGTTCACCCCTTTGGGGGTGGTCTTGCTCCTTTTGAGAATGCATGCTTTTACTGCTGGAGTATTTCTGGAGTGTAACTCATAATGTAGCACTGGATTACATGCCGTTCTGCATTATTACCAAGGACTAATATTCTACAACGTGGGCGTATGTACGCAGCAGGCTACTGGGTCCTCACCACGATGACCCAGCCAGGCAGTGGAAGCTGGTTAAGCTTAGGTTAATATCACACAGACACTTTATAAATTTCGGCCTCCTATTTCCCACCTCAGGGCACAGCTATCATGTTTTGGTTACAGGTTGTACTATAAAGCCAGTCATCCCGTTAAAATGCCAGTCAGCTCTGCTCAAACTCCTATAATGCTTCCCCATTTCTCTCAGTAAGAGTCAAAGTCCTTACAATGACCCACAAGATCCTACAAAATCTGCACCACCTTTCTTATACCTGCTTTCCACCCCCACCTCGGCTTACTGTGTTTCAGATGATCTGGCTTCATTGCTGTGCCAGGAACATTCCAGAATGCTCTCTGTATTAGGATCTTCACATTGGTTGTTTCCTTGACCTGAAATACATTTCCCCTGGATGTCTACATAGTCAGTTTCCCAAACTCTTCTAAGTCTTTGCTTATACATCCCCTTGCCAATGAGGCCACTCTGTCCTGTTTCAAATGTCAACCCGTTCTAACCCTGATCTGCGACCCCCTCCATTACTAAAAACCTTCACCTGACTTTTAAGTTCTTTTCCCATAATACCTATCACCTAATAAGATGTGATACATTACTTACTTCTGTCTAGAGTTTATTTTCTGTCTTCTCCCACTAGAATGTAAACCCTGAGTGGTCTCAGATCTCTGTCTGCTTCTTCGTCATTACCTCAAGCACCTAGAACAGTGGCTGGTATGTATTAGATACTCAATATACATTTGTTGAATAAATTTTGGTGATTGTTTAGATATATAGAGATTGATATCTTTATCCTCCACTGAACACAGAAGTTCCATGAGAACAAAGCCCATGACTATTTAGCCGATCAGTATATACCTAAAATTTAGCAGATATCTGACACATCATTGATGTTTATTAAATATTTGGGCTTTTTTAAAGATTTTATTTATTTATTTGACAGAGGGAAAGAACACAAGCAGGGGGAGTGGCAGAGGGAGAGGGAGATGCAGGCTCCCCACCGAGCAGGGAGCCCGACGCCGAGCTCATGACCTGAGCTGAAGGCAGATGTTTAACCGACTGAGCGACCCAGGTGCCCCTAAATATTTGTTTTATAAACAACTAAAGTGGAGGAGCTGTAGCTAGAATTCATGTCCTTTTACCCCTGGTCCATTTTTCTTTCTGTATTATGTGTATAAATAGTATGTCCTCACTGTATTTAAACTCCTACAGGAAGAGAACTAATATCTGGGTCTTTCTTCCATGGCACTTTGTATAAAGCAAGTTGGCTTGTTTACTTATAAAAGTATTTGCTAATACTAGTATTTGATAATACTAGTATTTGATAATACACCTAGGCGCCCCTCCCCCAAATGTTTTATTCTGCAGCCAGATAAGCTGCTCTTCCCTGAACACACTGTGCTATTTCCTGCCCCTATACTTTTGCACCTCTGTTGCCTCTACTGGGCACAATTTTACTCATTCTGCTATGTACAGGATATAAATATACATAAGACATCATCTTATATGCACGTATAACTGAGGAAATTTACACATTAAAATTCAAGAGAAAGGATCCAACTGGGCCGATGGCAGGCCTGCCCATCATCTGGAATAATTTGGAGCCGATGTCTGGTCTTCTGCTTTGCATGTGCAGACTCAACTTGGTTGGTTTGCAAAGGGCTTTTCAAACATTGTAGAACTGGGTCACTCTAACTAAACTGAAAAAACATCAGATTAGCAACTAAAATGCCAAGGTATTACTTTACTACAAAAAAAAAAAAATGCCAAATTGACTTGAATACCTCCTTAAGAAAATAAGCATAATCGGCCACCTGGGTGGCTCAGTTGGTTAAGCATCTGCCTTCGGCTCAGCTTATGATCCTAGGGTCCTGGGATCGAGCCCGGTGTCGGGCTCCCTGCTCCTCGGGGAGCCTGCTTCTCCCTCTCCCACTCCCCCTGCTTGTGTTCCCTCTTTCACTGTCTCTCCCTCTGTCAAATAAATAAATAAAATCTTAAAAAAAAAAAGAAGCATAATCTCTTCACACTAGCTAAGTCTACACAAGGAATCAGTTAAGATAATGTCCTCATACTATGTTCATGTGATCTGTGTTTACATGATCTGAGACAATACCCACCCTTTTAAGCCCAATATCAGTGAATTGTGCCTTTTCTTTTTATATTGATCAGTCTCATTAAGAACTTACTAACATTATTTTTTTAGAAAACATTTGGCTTTATTAATAGTCTCTATTGTGCATTTTTTTGCACTTTCATTAATTTCTGCTCCTATCTTTATTTTCTTTCTTTTCCTCTCTTTGGTTTTACTTTGCTGTTTTTACCCCAAGATAATTGTGATGGATATATTGGTGTTCAGCTTTTCTTCTTTCCTAATACATGCTTTTAAGCCCATTAATTTTCCCTCTTAACACAGCTTTTTCTGGACCCCGCAAGATTTCATATGTTTTATTTTTATGGTCATCCAAGTCAAAAGGATTTAATTCTTATTTTCGTTCTCTTGGTTTCTGTTTTGTTTTGAGGGCTATATTCTTAGGTGCACACGGATTCAGAATTGTTATATCATTTTGGTACATGGACTGTTTCTTCAATAGAAAATGCTACTCTTTATCTCCAGTAATATTTTTTGCCTTTTTCTGATATCAGTTTTCTTTTGGTTAGTGTTTATGGATATATTTTCCCAAGTTTTTACTTTCAACGTCTGTGTGTCCTTATATATAAGCATTAGATGGTTAAATTTTTATTCAGTCTGACAATTTTTGCCTTTGAGTAGTTGGTCTAGAAACACTTAATGCAACTGCAGTGCATTTAGGCTAAATATATTATCTTACAATTTCTATCTTTAAAAATGATCAAAAACTTGAATAGAAATTTCACCAGAAAGTAACATATGAATGTTACATAAGGTCATTAAGGAGACATCATCATTATTAGCTATGAGGGAAATGCACTTCAGTGAGATCCCTTAATACCACTAGAACAGCTAAAATTAAAAAGACTAACAAGACCAAG